AACTATCTTCATGACATTCTTATTGTTATCGCGTTTATGAATTAATGATGTTATGCTCCACCTACACACAGCCTCAAGGCCAGGCCAACCCCGCCCCCTCTATTCCCCCACGCCGCTGCCACCCAAAAGGCTACCCATGTCGGGGTCACAGTACTTCCAGCTGTTTCGGAACTTCAGACTCAAGGCTATTCGAATCCTCACTGTGGATGGGTAGTGGACACGACTTTGGTGCACGATAGTACATATCTTGTATACTGATGATGAACTGGTAATAAATGAGTTCACATGTGAGTGTGAGGTAAAGTGAAGACTTCAGCATCAGTATTGACTCAACCCTGACCTAAGCTAATACCTGTATGCTACAAGTATTGAAATATTTCATTCATTTCGGATACTATCTGATATAATATATCACCAGTAAAAATTTTTACAACTAAAAGGAAATCTTCCTGCAGTGTGTCTAAACCCATACTGTAATGTTAGTTATGGGCAGTAAAAATAAAGATATGCTGTACTAAATCAGTAGAATTATCAAATGTATCTTCTATATTAGTAGCAGGTGAGTTCACACGTGTGTGTTAGATTACAGTAGGCCTAAAGACGTCAACAAAACTGAAGGGATATTTCCATAGTAAAACCTTCCTCCATATTCACAATTTGCTGTTCTATTTTTCTTTGAACTAACCATCGAATAATCATTTATCTATTGGAAATACAACCGAGATAAACATACCTGGAGGCTTGAATGAGATTTGCTGTAGTGTCGTCTGCAGATGGGTTTCAAATTTGGCAGTCTGATTTTTGGTTAACAAACGTGAAGTACAGGCATCCCCCGCATTACAGAAGGGTTCTGTCCCTGGAAAATTGACTGTATCGCGAAATTCCGTAACGCGAAACCTATTTTCCCATTGACTTCCATTATAAAACTGGAGATGCGTTCCTATGGAATTTTTTGTGGCCCCAAAAATGTAATTCAAGCACTTTTATGAATGAAAATAAACATTTATAAACACATACAGTACAGTACATTCAATAATTTATGATATACTTGTAATATGAAGAGAAATACAGTTGGAATAAATAAAAATATTGTACTGTACTCACCACAAAAGATGTTGGGTGAGGATAGGTGGTGCAAAGGGAGTTATTGGGAGGGAGAGGGAGGGGCACTACACTCTTCTGCCCTGCCCTGTAAATCATCATCTGCTTCATCATCTGCTTTCAGCTTTTCTCTGAGGGTGAATAACTCATCCAATTTTGTTTGACGTTTACAGCTCACCTTCTCCTTGTACAGCTCAGTGTAGGAACTGAGAGCATTGTTAACTGCTCTTGCAATCTTGATGTTCCTTTCACGGTTGGGGTCGTTATCAGCAAAGATTTGCAGACCTTCCTGTATTAGTGCAAACCCTTTAGACATATCCTTTGTTGTCAACTGAAGTGGGGTGGGTGGAGATTTTACATCCTCTTCTTGTCCTGCAGCTCGCTCTTGTTCCAGCATCATAAGATCTTCATAAGTCAAATCTTCTCTATGGGACTCTAGCAACTCAACCACATCATTTTCTATGACTTCTTCAAAGCCTACATTATTTGCACGTGTCACAATGTCTTGTTGAACTTGCTGTAAACTTTCAGCTTGTGAAAAACCTTGAAATTCATGGACACACTCTGGCCATATGTATTTCCATGAACCATTCATAGCTGAGGTTTTCACTTCATCCCATGACTCGACTATATTATCCACAGCATCCAAGATGTTGAACTTTTTCCAGAAGTCCCTAATTGTAGGTTTATCCTCACCATCAATTGCTTTTATGAGCTGCAAAAAAGTTTTCCTAAGATAATATGCCTTAAAGTTAGCAATCACACCTTCATCCATTGGCTGCAGCAAGGAAGTGGTGTTCTTGGGGATGTACTCCACTCTCACATTATCAGAAAGATCATTTAAATTTACTGGGTGGCTTGGTGCATTGGCTAAGAGGAGCAATGCTTTATTAGATATGTTACGCTTGGCATTATATCTTTCTACAGCTAGTGAACCAGTCTTGGAAAAGGGTCATAATCATCCAAGCCTTCTTATTGGAATGCCAAATCACAGGTAGATTGGACTTGGCATAGCCCTTGAGAGCCCTTGGATTTTCTGAGTGATACACAAGTAGGGGCTTTAATTTCATGTCACCTGAAGCATTTCCTCCCACAAGAAGTGTTAGACGATCTTTGGATGCTTTAAAGCCTGGTGCTGATTTTTCTTCAATGGAAATAAAAGTTCTAGCAGGCATGCACTTCCAGAAAAGCCCAGTTTCATCACATTGTACACTTGTTCTGGTGTGTAACCTCCTTCATCAATAATTTTCTTCAGCTCAGCAGGATATTTCTTAGCAGAATCTGTATCAGCACTGGCAGCTTCACCGCTCATTTTTATGTTGTGTAAATTAAGGCGCTTCTTTAACCTTTCAAACCAACCTTTACTAGCCAGAAAAGGTTTAACCTCAGAAGATGCACCTTCCTCTTCCTGCAAATCATTATATAAACTTATGGCTTTCTGTTGAATATCCATAGTGTTTAGTGGCACATTGCATTTAGTCTGATCTTCAATCCAGACACTCAGGAGTCGTTCCATATTCAGCATCACATCACTTAGATGAAAATACAAGGTTCGAGCAGTTAATGGAGTAGCAGCTTGAGCACTTGACCTAATTTTGTCCTTATTATCCTGCATTGTTTCCACTAATGAAGTAGCAAGACCTAATGTTTTTGCAATCTGGCTAAGTTTTTCTCCAGCTTCAAACCTTCTTAAAATGTCAAGTTTAATATCCAATGTAATGCCTTTGTGGCTTCTTTTTGCACTACTGCGGTCACTTCCACTTGATGGCCTCTTTCCAGTCATCTTGAATAAGGGTAATGCACTGTACTGTACTTGTATAATATGGACACGAGGTAGTACCTTAAGCTGTGTATTCTTATATTACTCTATTAATTATGTATAGTAAAGTATTACAGAACATGTATTAATCCTATGTAATGTTTCCATTTATTATGCACCATGTTATGTATGTGAATTACCATATTTACATATTATGTATTCAGCATGTGAACGCTGGCATCTGTGCATGCCAGCGCGGAGTGATACATGGAGTTGAGATCACTAGTCCTTATGGCGTGGAAGCCACTGTCTATTTGTTCCTCTGTATTTGTCTCCCGTACGAGAATAAGAACCTATTTTCAAGATAACAAGTGTTTGCGTATACCCTCATTAGTGTAGAACATTTTGGGGGTATCAAAGACAGACATAGAGTACTCACTGTATGTTTATAAAAGTTAAATCCAACTGCTGGGGCGCAAAACATGCGCGCACACTGGATCTAAACAATGGAGTGACTTCTCGTGGCTATGCCACGCTTGGCGGTAGCAAACACCAAGAAATCCACACCTAACAAATTATCATTTAAAAAAAAAAATAATTTTATATTGTGATTTTTTTTATATATTGTTAAATTCACCCCAATTTCCGTAAGGGCGGATTTACGGGCCGTATCGCGAAATTATTGGTCATAACTTACAAATTCCATAAGAGCGAAATTCTGCAACCCAGGGTTCCGTAACGCGGGGGATGCCTGTATAAAATTTCGGGGTATGAATGTCTAATCGCCATATCCGTCCCCCTGCGAAATTCATCATACCTGTACAGTATATGTATGATGATTATTTTTTTTTTACTTTATTAGAGGCCTTGCAACATATTTGTAATTGCAGTTATGTTAATTGATTTATCCTTAGGGTTTGCTTAGGGCTCCCACCCTCTTCTCACGATAATTTCAGTCATATTCGTGAGCATTGCTCTCGCCTTGAGGATTCACTACGTTTCTTGAAAAGAAAACATGGGCAGTCCCAATAGGGAAATCTCAAGCTAAATGATCTTGCATATGACTGTACATCCCACAATTTGTTTATCATGTTCATGTTCTCTTCATTACAGTTTTATTATCAGTACATTTCACAACATAGAAAAGTTATTGCTTAAAATGTCAAACTATAAGTACAATATAGATTAATATTATAAGAAATGTAGTTATTCTTCAGCTGTCTTGCTTCAAACTGATCCTAGGCTTCAGTTGCAAGCTTTGAGTGAACAGAATATAGCTTATGCCCCCAGACTAGGATGGGATGCATAAAGTCCCGAGCTGATAATATAGTCCCATGTTTGAAAAACTAAAATTTTATTACTGCAAATACAGTACAGTCTACAGTGACTCCAATTTCATCTTATACACACTACTGTACTAATTTCACTTTGTGTCTTGCAGTTTTGCTGTCTCGTCATGTGAAATTGTCATCGCCATACAGTATCTTTAATTTTCTTCACTCTTTATACTGACCCATATTTCTAGCCTTTAACCTAGATGTTTTTTTTATTATTTCCTCGTTAAAGACACTAAACTGCTACAGTAAAATCAGACATTCTTGCCTCACCAAATGTATTCTCAAATACTTTGCCATTCACCTATCCATGATAACCAACCATAACACAAGTCTTACATATAGACATGTTTACACTTTGTAGTGTATAGGTTACTTTTTTTTCTGTGAAATTGTTTATTTTGCAAAATGACCGGCATGCATATTGGTAATTTTGCATAATAACTTACATGCAGATAATCCAAACTAATCTAACCTTGTGGTTAGGGCAGCACATAGTCCAAATTAAAAAAAGAAAAAGAAACAAGAACAGGACCACTTAACTGTGTATCAAGCTACACAAGTCATCCTATCCTAACCTAAGCTAAGCTAACCTAACTAAACTAACTTTATTCAACCATAAGGTTAGGTTACTTTAGCTTATCTGTTTGTAGGTTATTTTGCAAAATTACCAATAAGCATGCCGGTCATTTTGCAAAATAGCCAATTTCGCCCCAAAAACGTAACATATACATTTGAAATGTCATGAAATTGTATTTTTAGTCAAAATCATAGTTCTTATTAATATATTTTATGTTTTTTTGCAGTTTGAAAGTTTTTATCACAAGCACTTTAATGGTAGGAAGCTTACATGGCTACATCATTTATGTCAAGGTAAGAGCTGCTGTATCTTTTACCTTACCTGTGTGTTTTCATCATTGTTGTGCATTAAATCTGGTTATAATCCATGCCCATCAGATTTGATATTTTTTATCATTATCAAATTTTCTCAATCTATTTACAACATGAAATTCTTCTAACTTGCCTTTGTACAAGAATAAACATACAGGTATAGTGATGAATTTCTCATTTTTTCCCATGGGAAGAATAAAGAGCTATTACTTCTTGAGCATTGCTTAGTATGTTTGTTTAAAATAAACTGGTACTGTTTTAATGATATACATTGCATAGTAACAGACCTGGCCATCTCTTATAGCTGCTTTAGTTGTTGTACATTGAAGTTATAATATCCTCTTGAGGTAAAACATGAAGAAAAATATCATGATATTAAGCGACATGTGAAGTCTCTGTCATGCACTTATTAAACATGGGTTATGGAACAATGCGTTTGGTCTCTTAAGGTACAGGTATTGAAGCTGTTACGGTATTCATGTTACTTAAACTCATTTTTTTCTATAGTTGGATGGCTTCTTTTTTTTTTTTTTCTCTCTTTCTCTCTCCAGAGATCATAACAAGGTTTCCTAGTGTTGTTTGATTAGCTCAGAATAATTACACATATACTTAAATCATGGTGTCCTCAATACAAATAGTAAAATTGTGAGGTTTAGATCAGACATTGCCTTACAAATTCATCTCTCTAACACAAATATTTAGTTTATAACGAATGCTGTGGGAAAGGGAGGGTAAATGTGACTGATTCCCCCCCCCAAAGGATAGCTTTAATGATTGTTTGCCACCAACTTCAGTACTGTACCGCTTCATTCATGATACAATATTGTTTATTTGTTTTTCATTAATTAGTAAAGATACATTACTGTAATAATCTCTGCTTATTAATACAGTGGAGTCTGGATTTACGTGGTTTTGGTTAACGCGTTTGGTCATTTATGCTGTGCCTTGCCAGAATCGAAATGCTTTAATTATGTGGTAAATTTGGTCATTTACGCGACGAGTCGCTGGAGGGTTCAGACACGCCGCGCCATTTTGGATTCAAGCGGCCCACCATCCCGTCAAGTGGCACGAGTAAGGTTGCGCAGTATGTCGCTGTTGCGTTATCGGTGACGTCATATGACGTATCGGACTGTGATTGGGCCACGCATCCTTACCTCCCTCCCCCGCTAGCTGTGATTGGTTTAATGTAATATGACGTGCCCTGCCACGGGAAGGAAGAAGTCGCTGACCTAGCAGGGCCTGTCTCATTGTTCTCAGTCCGCGTAGACAGTTCTCTCTTGTGCCCGCTATTCCCCTCACAATGGCTTCCGCGGGACCCCCACTACCAGAGAAAAACATTGAATTACCTGGACCAAGCCATGATTGTGTGAAGGAAATCATAGAGTTGGGGGAGAAAATTAAGCTCATCTTTAACAACGACCCAGACAAGCATCGGTATGAAGCGTCTAATAACCATCTGACGAAATTTATGGAGCCGTATATCCAGATCTATCTCGACAACATCAATGCTAGTCGTCAACGTAGTATTGAGGACTTCCTCGCCCGCAACCCACCACAACCACAGCCAGCCCAAGTCAGTGATAGTGATAGTGACGATATGGACTTTGAGAGGTTTGTCTGGGAGGCCCTGCAAACCTCTGCGAGTAGTGAAAGTGATTCACCGGAGGGCCACTAATCTGCCCTCTGCCTCGGAACCAGCCGCCATCCACGTGTGCCGACCCATCTTTTCTACTAACGTAAGTGTTAAAAAACCTAATATTATCGATATTTCTCTTAATTATTAATTGTGTGTGCATACCATCATAAAATTAAGATGTTATTTTTACTACAACGTACGTATTGTGTCGGAAAAAAAGGAGTTTGGGGGTTGGCCCAGTCTCTATTTCAATTAATCCCATATGTTCTGTTATTTCATTTACGTGTTTCTTGTGTTACGCGGGCCTCCACGGGTTCAATTGACCACGTAAATGCAGACCCCACTGTACCTGTACTCTTCATATACAATACAGTACAGTACTGTGTATACATATACAGTAACTCATAGGTAAAAATTAATGTCATTCAAGACGTCTTCAGGTCATAAGACCCATTAATCCCCCATCTAACAATGGCTGACCTGACATTGCATTCAGGATTATTTTGATAAAAAATGGTGTGTCTAACGAAATAAGAATTGATTTTATTGACCCCAGTATCAACATTTCTTTCGTTTTTATTTATTTATTTATTTATTTATTTATTTATTTATTTATTTTAAAGAATGGAATTCCCATCTTTATATCATATCAAAATATTTTGTTTAAGGATGTTGTATTGGAAACGTCTTGGAGAGAATTTATTATGGATCATTATGGTATAAAATTCATCTCCCTATCACAATTAGCCACGCTTGAATGGGGGAGAAGTGACCACAGGGCTGTCCCCCCTCACCCCCCATAAGGTTAGACTCCCACACTCTCAGTCCAACATTACACCCCTACATCACACACCTATACAAGCACACCCTCCAACAACCACCCACACAAACACCCCCTCCAACAACCACACACACAAACACACCCTCCAACAACCACACACACAAACACCCCCTCCAACAACCACCCACACAAACACCCTCCAACAAACACCACACACACACACACACCCTCCAACAACCACCCACACAAACACCCCTCCAACAACCACACACAAACACACCCTCCAACAACCACACACAAACACCCTCCAACAACCACCCACACAACACACCCCTCAACAACCACCCACACACAACACCCTCCACACACACCACACACACACCCTCCAACAACCACCCACACAAACACCCCTCCAACAACCACCCACACAAACACCCCTCCAACAACCACACACACAAAACACCCTCCAACAACCACCCACACAAACACACCCTCCAACAACCACCCACACAAACATCCAACAACCACCCACACAAACACCCCAACAACCACACAAACACACCCTCCAACAACCACACACACAAACACACCCTCCAACAACCACCCACACAACACACCTCCAACAACCACCCACACAAACACCCCCAACAACCACACACACAACCTCCAACAACCACCCACACAACACACCCTCCAACAACCACCCACACAAACACCCCTCCAACAACCACACACACAAACACCCCCTCCAACAACCACCCACACAAACACCCCTCCAACAACCACCCACACAAACACACCCTCCAACAACCACCCACACAAACACACCTCCAACAACCACCCACACAACAACACACACTCCAACAACCACACACACCCTCCAACAACCACACACACAAACACCCCTCCAACAACCACCCACAAACACAACCCTCCAACAACCACACCACACCAACACAACAACAACACACCACCCAACAACCACCCACACAAACACACCTCCAACAACCACACACACAAACACACCCCTCCAACAACCACCCACACAAACACAACAACACCCACACCACCCCTCAACAACCACCCACACAAACACACCTCCAACAACCACCCACACACAACACACCCCACCACCCACACACCCACACACACACCCTCCAACAACCACCCACACAAACACACCCTCCAACAACCACCCACACAAACACACCCTCCAACAAACAACCACCCACACACCTCCAACAACCACACACACAAACACACAACACAACAACACCCAACAACCACCCACACAAACACACCTCCAACAACCACCCACACAAACACACCTCCAACAACCACACACACACAACAACCACCCACACAAACACACCCTCCAACAACCACCCACACAAACACACCCTCCAACAACCACCCACAAAACACCCTCCAACAACCACCCACACACACCCCTCCAACAACCACCCACACACACACCCTCCACAACCACCCACACAAACACACCCTCCAACAACCACCCACACAAACACACCCTCCAACAACCACACACAAACACCCCTCCAACAACCACACACAAACACCCCTCCAACAACCACCCACACAAACACCTCCAACAACCACCCACACAAACACCCCTCCAACAACCAACCCACACAAACACACCCTCCACAACCACCCACACAAACACACCTCCAACAACCACCCACACAAACACACCCTCCAACAACCACCCACACAAACACACCTCCAACAACCAGCACACCCTCCAACAACCACCCACACAAACACACCTCCAACAACCACCCACATCCCACCACCACACAAACACCTCCAACAATCCACTCAAACACCCTCCAACAACCACCCACACAAACACAACACCACCCTCCAACAACCACCCACACAAACACACCCTCCAACAACCACCCACACATACACACCCTCCAACAACCACCCACACAAACACACCCTCCAACAACCACCCACACAAACACACCCTCCAACAACCACCTACACGCACAACCTCCAACAACCACCCACACTCACCCTTCAACACCCCCCACACACCTCTACATCACCCACACCATCTTTACTCACACACACACACCAAACACATCCCAACATCACACACACTCCAACAACCACCTACACGCACACCCTCCAATAACCATTCACACACCCCAACATCACACCCTCCCCACACACACAGCCACACACCCACATTCCCACAAACACACATTCCCACACACACATTCCAACACCACTCACACACCTCCAACACCACTCACAGACCTCCAACACCACTCACAGACCTCCAACACCACTCACATACCTCCAACATGGGAATTAAGACAGCAAGCATGAGGAGTGAAGGTCTTACTGTATGACTGAGTGGTAGTGAGTTAATGTTGAGCACTTGGCAACACTCATTTCCACTCCAACTTTCTATTAATCCTCACCTTTCTGTTTTCTCACTCCATATTTTAAAATGTTATGTAACATAATGTTGAAGGGATACAACTTTGCTCATTCATACTTATACTTATCACAATCTCCCTAAAAATACTTTAGCTTTCGTGTTTATTCAAGACATCTTCAGGTCATGAGACCCACTAATCCTCCACCCAAGAAAGGGTGACATGACATTCCATCAGAAGGTCAGTAATATGAGACCACTAATCCCCACAGCTCCATGGGAGTGGAAAATAACAGTCTTTGCTGTAACACACAGCTTCATTCACGCCCATCATATAGATTTTAAATTTTCAAATACTATATTTATTTCACCAAACTTTTAGATAAACTATTCTAGATTATTATAGTAGAGAAATGGAGTTTCTAAGTTAATTAGAACTGTATTTACGGACTCTGGTAGTTTAGACTCGAGGAAAACATCCCCAGCACCCAGAAACATTCTGGGGAAGTGGGCTAGTGTCTGTCTGTGCAAGATGTCTAGTTTAGACACTCGGAATCTTTTCCCAGTAACCAGAAAAGATTCCGGGATAAGGAATTTTTCCTGGTTTGAGAAAGTTATTTGGTTAGCTGGAAATATCTCATCCATGGAATTGCTCTGCACCAAGTGTTCCGGCTAACGGGGATATCGTGGGCAAAAACTGAAAAGAGAGTGAACAGTTTTGGAAACAGCTTTAGGTACTGTACTGTACTGTACATTTTTCTGTTTTTGTTTCTGGTTTTTGTTTTTCAATTTACAAGTACCAACTTTATTATTACTTATATGATTTTTTTATTTCACCAATAAATATTATTATTTTTTTATCTAACACTTATTGTCCTTACTTGGTCGTTTGTTGGCTAAAACACAAGTTGATTGTACAGTATTGAAAACTGTAATGCATGATTTCAGCATCTTCAAAAATATTACAGTACTGAACTTCTTTATTCTCTTTACATTTTTTCTTGTTTCATGTGAAAGAGCAAACAATTGTACGTACAGTAGGGTCGGGATATATCGCGACTTTATATAATGATTTTTTTTATATCGCGGCTACCAAAATTATCAAAATTTTTCTCTATCTGGTGATAATTTTTTTATTTCGTGAGGGAATCGGGCAAGAAATATTTCAAATGTACTTCCACGGCAAACAAATGTGTTATTTGCTCATCAAAGGCGCCACCGTGGCTGCTCAATCACGCATTCACTCTCGCCCGCTCAGTCTTTCTGAGTGAGTGACAAGAAAGCAGCCGACTCTGCTGCAGATTACGACTTTTAAAGCGAGTGTAAATGAGTTGCGAGTGACGTGAAGATAATGGAAAGCTTAATGGAAAAGATTTAATACTGTAACTAATATTTTTGGTGTTCGTTTATGTAGGTGTGGGATTGTCCGGTGAGGGTGGCAGTGCATCGTCTGCTGCCGAGTCTGGTGTTCCTTGATATTGATACTGACATTGAAATAGCCTGTTGTTCCCGAGTCTAGCGTTTATTGATGCTTTAATTAGTAAGAAAATGAACCCGTTAAGTCAAGTTTAGTAAATTTTTTGGGCCTCCATAACCTAACCCTAATTTCCCCATTGATTACATGTAATTATATATATCGCAATTAGTATATAGTGAACATCGTTGGACCCCATCTCGCGATATATCTTGACCCTACTGTATAATATAGTTGGTTTTATCTTAGGAAAAAATGAACCTTTTGCTGAAAATCTATTTGAAGAAAAAATAGATAGTACAGGTTGTACCTCTCTAGTCCGGCAACCTCGGGACCTGACCGGTGCCGGACTATGGAAATTCACCCTTTTCCTGGATAGATAGTGACTTGTGCTAAGCTTGGAAGCACTAGCACCACTCTCTCTGCTTCATGGTCTCTTTGAAGACATATTGAAGGGTTAAATGTCGTACAGTAGCTTCTCAAATTTTGCGAGTTTTTAGTTCAACTTTTTTTTTTGGAACACACAAAAAAAATAAAAATAAAATTTTTGACGGTGGAAACTCGAATTTCGACGGGTTTGAGTGGCCCACCAACGTTCAGACGACGTACAGAATCGTGTAAACAGCGTCATTTCTCTTATGTACAAAGGATTCATTATTGTTTATTACTGAATGTATTTTTGATTGAATTAATGTTTATGTGTGCAAAATGAGCAATTCATTTCATTAATAATACAGTACGTAGAATATTAAAACACACGAGGAAATGTGACGACATTGTTTTCGTTGATTACAAAACCAGTGACTGACTGGTTCTGCATATAAAACTGAAGAAAATAAGACCTTGGCTGTAGCTGTAGTAAAATTAATATGATTGTTTTAAGTAATGTCATTTAATGTTAATAAATGGAACAATAGAAGTCGCTAACGATAATGGTAAAGAAAAAAAAGAGAGATCGCGTATGTAAGTGCGCACATGTGAAAACATATCGTCATTACTCTACATAAGAATATGAAAGCAACACTTATTTACCGTTCATATATATTTTAATTAATGTTTCTGATTTTTTTTTATTGAATTAATGTTTGTGTGTAAAATGAACAATACAATTCATTAATATGTGGAATATTAAAACACACGAGGAGACGAGACAGCTGCCGGCATTGTTTTCGTTAATGATTACAAAACCAGTGACTGATTGGTTCTACATATAAAACTGAAGAAAATATGACCCTGATTGTAGCTGTAGTAAAATTAATGTAAAAAAATTAATATGGTTGCATGAAGTAATGTTATTTAATGTTAATAAATGGAACAATAATTAATAGTAGCTAACCATTAATGGTAAAGAAAAAAAAGTGAGACTGCGCGTATGTAAGTATGCACATGTGAAAACAGATCGTCATTACATAAGAATATGAAAGCAACACTTATTTACTGCTCATATATATTGAAGGGTTAAATGTTGTTCTCTGTATAGACAAGCAGAGAGAGAGCAGCCGAACTGCCGGATGTAAACAAACCTTAATTTCCCGGGGCTTTGTTGTTGTTGTTTTTTTTACGGGGATTAGCCCACCCGGGCATAGGTCACTGACCCACATTGGGGCCTGAGGGGCAAAAATTTAATACTCCTGTAATAATAATAATAATAATAATTCAGATAAGTTTAAAAAAAAAAAAAAAAAGCTGCCTATCTACCTATTGGACAAACTAAAATCGTTCTGGACCACTGGAGTTTCCGGACCACAGAATGCCGGACTAGAGAGGTACAACCTGTACTACAGTGTGGCTCTTCCGTGCAAGAAGGTCACAACTGGCCCATGCGTTGGAGGGGTACTTGTTATAAATTAGGTGGCGCACAGGAGTGTTAAGAGACTGCAGTTTACCATTTAACAATGATTCTGTTCAATGAATTTGCATATCATTTATTTTTTTTTAATTTTGATCACTTGAGGTGTATCTTAGCAATAATTTTATTATTTCAGTAAGCTGGTTTTGAATATTATTTAATTTTGCCCCTCATAAATAAGATTTTTTTTTTTTTTAATCTTTGATTAAAGGTTTTTAACAGCATTCTTATCTTTTACAGGAGAGTTGAAGGTGAGCCACAGCAAACGGACATATCTCATCACCATGTCGACTTTCCAGATGGCTATGTTGCTCATGTATGAGAAGGTAAAATTTTTAACTATTTTTTTATATGAATATATATCTTATTCATTAGCTTGCTAAGAGTGATGTTCCAATTTATTGGTTGCTTTATTCAAGACTTGCAATTGTTTCAAGTTAAATTTATTAATTTGAAATGAGTTAGTTTAGTTTTGCTTTCTTTCTTGAAGAATTGAGGCAAACAAACAAAATTTCCTATTCTGTACCTTGGACACTTCCTAAACCAGACTTGTTTGATGCATCAAGCTTTGGATGGGAGTGGTATCCATATTTCTGAGGGACTTGATGGCAGTGGGCCTTGGAATGATTTCACTTTAATCTAAAGGAGCTATTGGTTCCCTTGTTCTTTCATTGAGAGCATAGTGATCTACTACAGGGTAGGAACATCATGCATTTATAGATTCAGGCATCCCTCGCGTTACGGAAGCCCGGGTTACGGAATTTCGCTCTTATGGAATTTGTAAATTATGACCAATAATTTCGCATTACCGCCCGTAAATCCGCCCTTACGGAAATTGGGGTAAATTTTAACAATTAAAAAAAATCACTAAAGCTGTAATTTTTTTTTAAAAATTATAATTTGTTAGGTGTGGATTTATTGGTGTTTGCTACCGCCAAGCGTGGCATCGCCACGAGGAGTCACTCCATTGTTTACATCCAGTGTGCGCGCATGTTTCGCGCCCCAGCAGTTGGATTTAACTTTTACAAACATACAGCAAATACAGTACAGTACAGCACGGTGCATTACCCTTATTCAAGATGACTGGAAAGAGGCCATCAAGTGGAAGTGACTGCAGTAGTGCAAAAAGAAGCCGCAAAGGCATTACATTGGATATTAAACTTGACGTTTTAAGAAGGTATATCATAAATTATTTAATGTACTGTATTGAATGTGTTTATAAATGTTTATTTTCATTCATAAAAGTGCTTGAATTACTTTTTTGGGGCCGAAAAAAGTCCTTAGGACTGCATCTCCAGTTTTATAATGGAAGTCAATGGGAAAATAGGTTTCGCGTTACGGAATTTCGCGATACAGTCAATTTTTCAGGGACAGAACCCTTCTGTAATGCGGGGGATGCCTATAATTTTCAGTGTTTTCATGTACAGGTATCTCTCACTTTATGAACATTTTGGAAACATATATCCGCTTATATGAATTTCCTAAATTGACACCACTACTGTATTTTGAGATACGAAAGCTTTCCCCACTTATGCGAATTTGGATCCTGGTAAAAATTCAAATAGCATCCTGGAAGTCAGCTGGGGCGGCCATCTTGGGGAGAGATACGCAGAGACATCTTTTCACTCATTAATCATAACCCTCCTCCCTCCCGCGTCTTTCCATCTGCCATTCATTGTGTATGTGTGAAGTGATCCCTCTTTATCCATGTGTATTCATGCCATCCTTTTGTTATACCTTTCGTTGTGGCATCCAAGTGTTCTGCTAAATCCTCGGCTACCCATACTACATCAAAGAAAATATGAAAAGCTGTAACTCTTGAGCCAAAGCTGGAGGTTAAAAAGTGTCAAGAATGTGGTAATGGCTTTACAAAAGTTGGGAAAGATCTTGGTTTGGCTGTTTCTACTGTGGCCACAATTTATAAGCAAACTGATGAGATCAAGCAAGTAGCTGAAAACATCACACGTGTAGGAGCAAGCAGACTAACTCATAGTTGTGACTTTGTGATGGATAACATGGAGCATCTTCTCCAACTGGAGATAGAAGACCAGACTTCACATGCCCCTGCCCCCTGTGCACCCTCTTCATCAAAAAGAAGGCTTTGTTATTGTGGGAAGATTGCAGGTGTGACCTCACATCTGACCAGGTAACCATCGTGAGTGATTTCAAGGCCAATTCTGGGCAAATCTACACAACTTGAAGTTGACCGTGGAAGCTACAAGTGCCAACACCTAAGGTGCTGGGCTGTTCTGGAAGAGGGTGCTGTCACAATGCGTCACATACGTACCTTCATTGCTCAGGAGGAGAAGACTGCACCCGGTTTAAGGTAGCCAAGAACAGGCTCACCCTTTTGCTTGGTGGTAATGCTGAAGGTGACCTGAAGTTAGTTTACCACTCAGAAAATCCTAGGACTCGTAAGGAATTCTACAAGGAGCATCTTTCAGTTATTTAGCACTCCAACCAGAAGGCGTGGATGACAACGGCTCTGATGCAGAATTTCGTAATTAATTACCTCTCAAGCATGTGCAAGGAGTATTGTTCCAAGAACAACTTGGACAACAAATTCCTCATCTTCTTTGACAATGCTCCTATACACCCACCCAACATCGAGGTGATGTTTGTGCCACCTAACACCACCTCACTCATCCAATCCATGGATCAAGGTGTCATTTCCACCTTCAAGGCTTACTGCCTTCAGCACACAATGTGGGATCTTGTGCACCAGACTGCAGATAACTAGACCAGCATCAAGGAATTGTGGAATGTCTTCAATATTAAGAAAGCCATTGACCACATCAATGAGTCTTGGAAGGAGATGTCAGAGCAAACCATGAACGGCGTGTGGTGCAGGATTTGCCCGAGTGCATGCACGATTTTCTTGGACTTGGTGATGTGGGAAATGTGCAGCAGGACATTGTGGGAAAAGAGCAGCAGGACATTGTTAACTTTGCCCAAGAGGTTGGGTTTGAGGAGGTGGACAGGGGGTATGTCCAGGATCTGCTCTAGTCACACAGCCAGGTCCTCACCAATGAAGAACTCGTGCAGCTCCAGCAGCAGAGGTTTCATGAAGAGGAGGAGGACCAGCCAGAAAAGCTACCTGAGATCCAGCTCACTCTCAAGGTTATCAGTAAGGTCCTTGACCTCGTTTGTAAGGGGCTCAACTTTTACCGTGCCAAGGACCCTCTCAGGGAAAGGAGTGGTGCAGTTGCCTCTAGTATGGAGAGAGACATCAAAGTCTACACTGAGATTCAACAACAGCTGAAGAACAAGGCAAGACAACCGACCATATCCTCCTCCTTCAGACCCATCACCACCTTCAAACCGCTTCCTGCATCTTCAAATTCCAGTCCCACTCCCTCCACCAGTGGATTTTCTTTCACTCCTTCCACCTCTGGTGTGACTGTGGTGCCCTTGGCAGACAGCAGTGATGAGGTTGACAACCCTCCTCATCTTGCTGATTAAGGTCCTTACTAAGCTAGCCTCTTTCACCCCCTTGTGGTGGCAAACCCAGACTGCCCTCCCATAAGGTACTGTACGAAAGTTATACAGTACAGGTATTTTATTAATGTTTTTCATGTGTTAGGTAGTAAATTACAGTAGTTTTGTACTAGTTATCATTAATTAGGTAAGATTTTTGTTGTTTGTGAACCGTTTTCATGTTTTTGGTGTATGATGCAGTATTATTATTATTATTTATTTTATATTTTTATACTTTTTAAACTGAACTATTTTAACAGTATATTCTTCTATTCGCTATACAGTGGTCCCTCGGTTAACGAAATTTTGGTTAACGAATTACCTTCCATAAGAATCTTCAATTCGGTTAACGAAAAAAAATTTGATTAACGAAATCCTTATGAAAATCACATTTTGTTTTGAACATCAGCTGATAAGCTGAGGAGGTACTCAGCCAATTCAGTGATCTCTTCTATGTTTACATTCAAACTAATCACTATCTTATAAGAATTCCAGCAATACAAATTAAATTCACCCTGGTCACTTCTATTAAATTTTATAAGCAAAAAACAAAAACTCAATCTAAAAGAAAAAAATAAACAAACAATTAAATACTTCACACCACAGGCGCCAACTGTCAAACATGTCACTGTCACCCCTCCCTCCCTACCCTCCACCTTCCTGAGAAACGTTTGGGGAAAAAGACTAGGATTACAGATTTAAAAATAAATAATACCTCAGACTAAAGTTAGGATAATATAATTTGCATTGCTGAAATCCTTGCAAGACAGGGAATATTTTGAAATATAAACTTCATATATTTTGTACAAAAGATAAAATTTTTGCTCTCCCTAATAAAATTCTTAAATTAGATCTAAAATTTGTATGTCTAATGCAAATTTTAGCTTAATTATATTAAAATTTATCACTATCTTATAAGAATTCAAGCAATGTAATTATATTATGGCCGGGTAATTTCTATGAATTTTATGAGCTAAAAACACAAATCTCAAGTAAATAAACAAATTATACTTCACCAGACACTTATCTGTCACCTCACCTCCCGCTCCCCCCCCTGCTCCCCCCCCCCTCTTCCCACGCTCGCTGGCTTCCTCCCTCCTTGTGTTCCCAGACAAAAGATTGGTGATTTCTTTATGCTTTAGGGTGTTTATTTTATATAATATCTCAGACAAAAGTTAGGATAATATAATTTGCATTGCTTTAATCCCTGCAAGACAGCGAATATTTTGAATATAAACTTCATATATTTTGCACAAAAGATAAAATTTTTGCTCTCCCTAATAAAATTCTTAAATTAGATCTAAAATTTGTATGTCTAATGGAAATTTTAGCTTGTTTATATTCAAATTAATCACTATCTTATAAGAATTCCAACAATGTAAATTATATTCTGGCTTTACTTTGTATACACTTTTCTGTGAGCTGGAACCAATTACCCAATATCCCATTGAAGCAATGGTTTTGGTTAACAAACGACCTTCTGGAACGAATTGTGTTCGTTAACCGAGGGACCACTGTACTGTACAGTAGTCCGTTGCCAACTGTGGGGGTTAGGTTCCTGAAAAACCCTGTGGTTGGCAAGACTAAAGGCTTATGGGAAATAGGGAGATAGGTTTCACAGCCACAGATAAATACTCGTCAAAGCCTAACTAAGTTGCCTGTTTCTTTACGAAACAATACCTGTATTGTACATTTAATTAAATATAAGTCAAATACATATAAAATAGCTTAATATCGTCCCGCTTAACGTTGTTTCGGTACTACGTCGCTGAACTTTAGAGACCCAAAATTCGTTTAATGTCCTGGTGATGCGATACTACAGTATAGTCTCGATTTACGCGGATTTGGT